AAAGCACTTTGCAAACTTTAAAGTGCTATATAAATGCTAACTATTATTGTTGTTATTATTATCTCTGCTTTTCTCCCCTCTCCCTCTGCCCCCAATTCATAAAGACTGGCAATTGTTAATACTGAGCTCAGCGCTGGGAATGGAACAGTGAAAGGCGAACGGTCACAAGAAAGAGTTTACATTCTACTGAATGTAGAATGTTTATATAACATATAAACAGATAAGCACATAAATAATATGAGGAGAGAACACTGAAAGCTAATTTGATCAAGAAAGACTGGCAGAAACTAAGAATTATAAGAGGCAAGATGGGATATGGCTTGTCAAAAGCACAAAAGTACAGACGGAGGGCCAAATTCAGAGAACAAGTAGATGAGACTGGCTTTAAAGTAGAGTGTGTGAAAGGAAGTAATGTGAAAAAGGCTGGAAAGGAAGGCTAAAGTCATTGTGGGAAGAGCTTTAAATGCCAGTTGGAAGCATTTTCTTTTTATCTAAGAGGCAACAGGAGAGAAGGTTCCTGAGCAGGACAGTAACATTGTCAGACCTGGACCTCAGGAAAATGATTTGGGGATTTATTTGGAAGACAGATTAGAGAGACGACAGCCTGGAAGCCAGGTGAGAGAGGATAAAGCCCTGAAGTGGTGTTATGACCATGTAAAGAGACAGAAAGACATAAATGTGAGAGATATGGAACCAGAACTGGATATGGAGATAGAGGAAGAATGAGGGGTCGAGGGTAACTCTGAGGTGACAAACAGGGATTAGAGGGAAGGTTTGGAGTAAACTAAAATGGAAAAATTTGGAGGGTAGATCAATTTGAAGGGGATAACTTCATTTTGGACATACTGAGTCCCAGATGCCTGTGGGCCACCCCACTGGAGATCCAAAAGTTGGTAATGAGGGCCTGAAGCTCAAGAAAGAGGAAAAAGGTTGGATCTAGATCTGGGAATCATCTGTGCAGAGATGAAAGAGAAAAGAAGAGGACCCAGTACAGACACCACAGGAATACCCACAGTTAGGCAGCCAGACATCAATCAATAACAATGGAGACTAAGAAAGAATGGTTAGGCAAGTAGAAAAGAATTAGTGAAGAGCAGTGTAGCAAAAACCCTGCGATAAGAGGGGTTACGAAGAAGGAGATAGTTAACATTGTCAAATGCCACAGAAAGGTCAGAGAAGATGAGGAATGACAGTAGGCCATCATGTTTAGCAATTAAGAGAACATTAGTGGAACATTACTATGCTATATTAAAATAATGATTTGGAATACTACATATGTCAATTTCTTGATATATTGATCAGTTTGTTTCATTTCTTTTTCTCTTCCTTTTAAAAAAATTTTGTCATAATGGATGGCTCTTTGGGAAGGAGGGAAAAGAATACAGGGGGAAATCTAGGCAACCTAAAAACAAAAGATACCAATAAAAATCTATTTTAAAAGAGATTATTTGGAATGTGATATTCCGTAAGGCAAAGGAGCTTGGATTACAAGGATCAACTACCCAGCGAAAATGAGCATGACCCTTCAGGGGAATTCAACGAATGGATATTCAATGAAATAGGGGACTTCCAAACCTTCCTGATAAAAAAGACCAGAGCTCAACAGAAAATTTGATCTTCAAATACAAGACTCAAGAGAGACATAAAAAGGTAAACAGGAGAGAAAGAAACAACATGTTATCAATAAGGGCAAACTGTTTACATCCCTGCAAGGGACGACTTGTAACTCTTGAGAACTGTATTGTTATTACACCTAGTTAAAGGAATATACATAAAGGGGGTGGGTATAAATTAATGATAAAAGAAATCTAATCAAGTGGGTTAAAGGGATCCAAGTAAGTGGATTAATCTGATCTAAGAAAATGTACTGAGAGAAAAGGAGGAGACAGACAAGGGTAAATTACATTACAGGAAAAGGCACAAAAACCTATTCCAGCAGAGGGAAAGAAGGGAGGGAGATGAGCACTGTCTGAACCTTACTCTCATCAGATTTGGCTCAAGAAGGGAATAACATAATCAATTAGGTATAGAAATCTAACTTGCCCTATAGGCAATAGGAGGGAAAAGGGGAAAGAAAAGGGAGTAGGGATAGAAGGGAGGGAAGAAGCAGTAAGGGTAAAGGTAGTCAAAAGCAAAGCACTAATGAGGAAAGAAAAGGAGAAAGGAGAAAGAAAAGCATAAACAGTTATCATAACTGTGAATGCGATATATGAATGTAATGGAATAGTATTGTGCTCTAAGAGATGATGAACAGGCAGACTTCAGAAAAACCTGGAAAGACTTGTATGCTCTGATGCAGAGTGAAATGAGCAGAACCAGGAGAGCATCATACACAGTAACAGCCACATTGTGCGATGACTAATATTGATAGACTTAACCCTTGTCAGCAATACAAGGATCTAAGACATCTCCAAAGGCCTCATGATAGAAAATGCTATCCACATCCAAAGAAAGAACTACGGAGTTTGAATGCAGATCAAAGCATACTATTTGCTATTTTTTTTCTTCTGTTGTGTTTTGTTTCTTTTTCTGGTGGTTCCTCCTATTGGTTCTATTCTTACTTAGAACATCACTAATGTGAAAATATGTTTAATAGGAATGTATATGTATAGCCTATATCAGATTGCGCACTTGTTGTGGGGAGGAAGGGGGGGAAAATTTAAAACTCAAAAGCTTATGGAAGTGATTGTTGATAAATCAAAATTAAAAAAAATAAATTAAACTTTCTCATTCTCCTCAATAAATAAATAAATAAAAGAGATTATTAGTAACTTTCAAGAAGAATTTTAGTTCAGTGGTAAGGGTGGAAGACAGATGGAGAGGGGTGAAAAAGTAGGTAGGAGAAAACAGAGCCAAGAAGTATAGAACAGCTTTTTTCTAGGAGTAGGGCTGTAAAAGAGAGGAAAGATATAGGATAATAGGCTAAGGGGAATGACATGGTCACATGAAAAGTTTTTAAACTAGGCAGACACAAGCAAGTTTGTAGGAAGCAAGAAAAAGGTTGGAGAGGAGAGCCTTGATAAGGCAGGTGTTAGCCTTGAGGGGTTAGCCTTGAAGAGAAGAGACAAGCCTCTTCATCTGAGATAAAGGAGAAAAAATTGGGGGATGATGTCATGGGAGTTGGGAGTTTGAAAAAAGGAAAAGAAGGGAACTCATGGCAGAATACCTTTTTTTTAAATTAAAGTTCTTTAGGGTCATCAGAGCATAGGAAAGCAATGATCTATGAGGTTAAAGAAGAGAAAAAGAGTTTTGCAACAACCACTGGGAGGAGTGCAGTAGAGTCAATTAGGGAAGAATAAAAATACAGTCACATAGCAGTGAGGACCCAGCTGAGACTAGTTAACCCATGTTTGTAATGGACTTGGTCAGCAAACTTACATGACTTCCTCCAAGTGTGCATTAGCAGGTGAGTAGGAGTGGAGAGAAAGATGATGGTGAGAGGTAATGCAAGGGTGAGGTTTGGCAAGGTTTAAGTGGCAACACAAGAGGGCAAGGCATTTGAGAGTTACAGACTGGTTATTGAAAGGGTCAAGGCCAGAAATAGAGGAATGTTAGGCCATTGAAGAGAAGGTAGCCTGGGAAAGCAGGGGACTATGGAGAAGAGGTCACAGTAAGGACAAAGGGCAGGCTTAGGAGAAGTGAGGAAAGAGATGAAAGTATGGGAAGTGACTGAATGAAACATTTCAGAGTTCTGGATCAGGAATGGGTATGTCCATCTGTATGTGGCTGAGGTGGAATAAAGGTACATATATGATGACAGGAGCTGAGAAGGTTGATGAAATGGGAAGCCAGAGGGGGTGGTTGAGAGGATACCAACTCAAGTTCTCAAGTATAAAGTCAGGGTTTGTAAAAGAAAGACTGTGAACCAGTTAATGAAGTTTGCACTAGTAAATAAATGCCAACAGGATTTAGAAAGGGTGATTTATTTGGATTTTATGAACTTGAAAGAGCACTGAACATAAAAGGAGGAACAGTTGCTGAGTGATAGCAGCAGAGGGAAGATCTAGCATAACAGAAGAAACTTCTCCTGGTCTAAAATAACAAGCCAGAATAAAAGGTACATATAGTTTGGGTGGCCAGGGATACAGTATCTTCTGGGGAAAACCAGGTGTCCTTGACTGCAAGAAGATGGAAAGACTGTGCCAGGAAAAGATCTATGAAAGGAAGTTTTGTTAATGAAAATGGCGGTTCCCCAGGGCCCAAATGAAAGACAGGGTAGAACCAGAAGGGCTAAGGTGGATGGGGAGTGTTAACAGAAGGTAGGAGGGATTTCAATAAGCAGTCAGAATTAGAAAGGGAGATGAGAATTTGCAAGCCAAAGGATAGAGATACAATACCATTTGGCTGGGTGGTCCCACCTCAAAAGTCCCTTGATTGGGAGGAAGAGAAGGAAACATCAGTTACCTCTATCTCAAACTTGAGGGTAGAAAGGAAGGCCAAGGTATTTATCTTAACATGGGTGAAAAGTTAAGACAGGTATCCGAGAGTATGAGATTGATTATAATTTTTCCAAGACATAATTAGTAGAACACAGTAAGTTTAGCAGTACTAGTGAAGAAATCCCCTGATTACCTCCATTATTCACGTAAAAGCCCAAATTAAACTACTATAAATCAAAAGACTCATAACATTGGTTGCAGATTAAAACATTACAATTATGAGTATGGCTAATGTGTCTGTTTATTTTCATTTGCAATACACCTTACTTTATTGAAAAGGCAGCTCTATTTTTTTTGGTCCTAACTTGTGATTTCAAATGTGAGCAAACTCCTAAAAATCAAGATCAGAAAATATTCTGCACTTACAGCCCCAAACCATTTGCCTAGAGGCACTGAGACGTTAAGGGTCTTATCCCTGGTCATACAGCCATTATGTTTTAAAAGCAGGGCTTAAAATCCAAGTTTCTAAGGGCGTTCTGCTAAGCAATCTCTTAGTTAAATATAAATAAGTTTTAACGAGTCAATGACATCCTACAAGATTAAAAAATGTTATATTCTCACCATCCAGTGACTCCACCCATTACAATCTGAGTAGCTACAGAATATTTCTCTACAATAGGTCCAGAGCTGTGGCCAAACACACGGTTCCACCAGTGGTGTCTTCTTGCATACTCTGTTAAATCCAGCACTTCATAAGAGTCATCGTCACTGTCATGTTCTTTCAGAGAGAAAAAGGAAAACAAAGGCATTAAATTCAATCAAAAGCAAGAAAGGTTCCTTCCATAGTTTTTTTTTAATTATCACTATTTCTAATAGAATGGTTTTTCTGAGAAGTCTTAAATTTTTGTTTTTTACATCTAATTCCAGATACCCAGAGATATGTATGTGTATGTATATATATGTCTATACCTGTATATGAAGATACACATCTTCGTGTGTATAAAACCAAGTTCCTACCCTAAAAAGGTGATAGCAGTATTTCATTTACCCATCACAAAGACTTACTGAAATACCAGGTGAAACTGGGGGAAGTTAAATTGGATGGGGAAAATTAAATGGCAGAAGTCATCATCCTTTTTCAGTATGTCTATGGAAGTAGTGCCTATATAAGGCATTTGTTAGTTGATGGTAGGCCTACAGTAAAAGAGTGACAGACATAAAATGAATGGTAAAAGGGCAGAAGATACCCTTTTTTGGCAAAATGAAGTTTTCTATTTCAAACAATTAAAGGAATCCAGATTGCCCAGAACCAGAGAAAAATAAGATAAATACTGCTGTGAGGGACTGAAATACATATGAACAGTCGAGGGATATCAATATTGTTTATAAGGGAACTTAAACTGAGGGAGAGACGAGATGTTTGCTTTTTTGGAGGGAAGGGGGAAGGGGTTGGTAAACAACAAATACGGTCTCAGAGCGGTTAAAACTGCATTAAGACTTTTGGGACACCTTGTATAGAGCTGGATAGGCCTATGTGTCTTAAGCGGGGAACACTGGGCTGTGTCCTAGTGGAGGAAATGGGGTTCAAGGAAGAAATAGGAGGAGGGGCCAGAGGGAATGAGATACGAGGACGTGGGGGAGGGGAGCTGTGTGACCAGGAGGGCACCCCAAAAAGGATAAGGGAGGAGACAGAATATACAGGTTGGGGGTTTGAGGGGATGCCAGGGCTACGTCTGCGGGGAAGATGGCAGGAGGGGGTGCAGCTGTGTAGGCAGGGAAGGAGGATTTGCACCAATAGGGAAGAGGATAAATAAAGGCTGGGGGAGGGGCCGCAGGAGGCTCTGGGGAGGGGGAGGGGGGATTCCAGGGCAGAAAGAGGGGGTGGGAACAGAAAGGTTGTGAAGCTGAGTGTCTGGGGAAGGGGCAAAGGGTCCATGGACTCGGGGTCCAGGCAGGAGGCATTGGGGGCGGGGGGGAGGTAAGGGGTCTGGGTAGTGGGGAAGGGGTCGGGTCTGGAGGTGGCTGGGGACGTTGGGCCTCGGGGGGCGGAGGTGACAAGCCCCGTCCTAGGTCCGAAGGAAGGGATGGGGGTTGGGGGGTGAGTCTGGGCGGGGCATAGTTGCAGTTTCTGTTTCGATTGCCGTCTTGGGGGCCCCTTGGGGCCGCTCACCTGTGGGACGGGGGTTCCTGGTCGCCATGATCCCGCCGGCGGCCTGTTGTCAAAAAGACCCCCACCCCCCGCCCCTACAAGCCCCCTTCTGCGAGCCGCTCACCCCACCACTCTAGGGGCCGCTCTACCCCGGGAGCGAGAGAAGTCCGAACTCTATGGTTGTCTTCCTCCTTATCCAGCCCTTCTTTCTTCTCCCTGACCCCTGCCCCGCCCCCGGCATAAGGCTTTGTGCGCAAGCGTAAACTGTGAAGGTCTGAGAGAGCCCGGCTGGGTGCAACATCCGTCCTCGGCCCCAGAGGCTTATGGGAATTGTAGTCTTGGTGACCCGAGCATGTGAGGCTGCGGCGCTGACGATTCTCCGCGGTGCGTGGGTCCCCTTCCCCCTCCCCAATTCCTGCTATCGTTCTAGTGGCCCTGGAGTCACTTCTGAAAGGAAGTCACCAGATGTTCGGGACATTTCAGTTCAATTCAATACATATCGGTTACGCTGGGGATACAAAAAGAGGCAAAATACAGCCCCTGCCCTCAAGGAGTTCAAAATCTAACTAGGGAGACAACACGCAAATATATATACAAAGCAAAGATAAATTAGAGATAATTAACATAATGATCTATCCACCCCCACCCCCTTCAATTTTTCTTTCTCACACTCGTCAAAATTCAATGCTGGGGGAAAAGTGCCTCAAGAAAACAATGTTTAAAAACAAACGTATAAAGCACTTTATGGGTAGGTAGAAGATTTTGAAAACTAAGCCAAAGTGTCACTTGGAGGCAGGTTCATTTTATCACCTTTTTTTCTTTGTTCCTCTCCTGCCCGCCCCAAGCTCTTCAGATATTGACTGTATTTCCCCACAAAAAGGAGCCCTGTGAAAGCACAACCCAATACCCTAAATTGATCACTGGAAAGATCAGCGTATTTCTACTCCACCTACAAAGACTTCAGTGTTCCTCTCACCACCACCCCTCCCCCCACCATCCTCAAAGCTTCCCTCTCCTTGTAGGATATTTATTTATGCCTTCTCTGAAAGCCTACATAGATCTTCCTAACAAAATAGAGGTATTACTTCTAGTTCTTTTGATTTAAGAGGCGGAGAACAGTAGGGAAAAGGGTAAGTGGAGTGGGAGTCGTAATAAAGCAGGTAGAAAGAAACTGACAGGTTAATCAGTGAAACAAATTGCAGCAGAGAACATTGAAAAGATGGAAGAATGAGGTTGACTCCCTCACTCAGATGTCCCATGGGATTATGTATATTAAGGAGAGGAAATGGGAGTGGAATTTGTTTCCCAACCCCCAGCTCTATTAATGTAGTCATCTAAACTAGGGGAATAATAACAAGTTGTTAAACTAAACTGGAAAAAAATGAGGCCCCACCTGGGTGATCCCTCTGTGAGGTGCAAACAAGTTTCTTGTCTGAATTTGAAAGGGAGGGTGGCCATTGGCTGAGAAATAATTAGCCACACCCCTAGAAGCCTTTGAAAGAGCCAGGCCAGAAATTTCTGGAGCACTGTAGTAGACATAATTTTAGAATTGACCTCTGGATTCAAGAGAAATCTAGAACAGGCAAAAGAATGAGAACGTTGATGAGAAGCTGGACCTGGGAGCTCAGTTGACCAACTAACTCAACAAAGACCCAGGATTCCACACTAAAAGAAAGAATATTCAGGGCCTGTAATGTTTGGAGTCATATAGTTACCTTGGTCACACGTGTACTTCACTATGGTTATGCTCCCAAGTTTGTGCCCACTGTACCCACAAGATACCATGTTTATTTGAGGGGAAAATAAGTCCGAAGTTTACAAAAGGAATGTTATAGATAGCTGTTATGTCATTTGGTGAAGCTGTTTCTTTGAGCCAGCTGATTGTTTATGAGAGAAGCAAAGTAGGGCATGGGGAATGAGCCATATTGTTTTTAAGAGTGTTCTTAGGAGTACCCTATCTCCTCAACCTGCAAACTAGTGAGAAATGAGGAATGGTGTTGATCTGATCACCAAGCCAACCAGACAAGTTCAAGGAAAGATTCACCTTGAAAAATGTTTTAAAGTTCTATTATAATAGCAATTCAACTATACATTTAAGCAAAACAGTATTTACTAAAGGTAAAAGATAGCTAAATCTCGGTTTGCTGTTCCAGATTAATTTTACCTCAAATCAATATTCTGTCTCTGCTTTGCTGAACTTTGCTTTTCAAATTCTGAACTATCAATGCCAAGACATTTGCGCTACTGAAATCTCACCTACCTTCCTGAAAAAAGCAAATCTAAGATTGTTTGGAGATGGGCTTCATTTTAAATCGAAAAGCAGAGTACCATGTCAGTCTTGGGGCAGAAAAGTGAATTCAAGGTTGTATGTCTGGGAAGAGGGAGGCTGTATGGGGTGAGCTTATATGTAAAATGGACAGGGAATTCAGACCTATTGTGTTCTTAAAATTCTCAGGAATAAATGAAACTAATTTTTTTCTCACTTTGTTCAGTGTTCCTTTGATGAATTTGCATAGATTTGTAGTAAAAATCCTGGCTATGTGTGGCTATAAAATAGGCTAGCAGGAGCTAGTACATAAAGCCATGTAAAAATGAAAATGGGCTGTGCCTTAAAGGAGAGCTTGCTGTCCTTAGAAATTTTCAAAAAGAGATTGAATATGTTAAATCTCTTACTTAAATGCCCCATGGGATTATATAAAATAAAGGAGAGTATAGATTACAAATCCAGGTTCCAGGAGAAAAGATCACCATACAAAGTGATTTGAACCTATCTGGGCAATTTTTGCTATCTGGACTTGAACAAGCTACCCTTCCTATACATTTGGTAATATTACAATAGTAGTTGACATTTTTATTGCGGACTAAAGTATACAAAGTATTTCTAAATATGTTTTTCATATGATCCTCACAACAACCCTCTAAAAATAAAAATTTCTTTTTAAAATGATGAAATCAACCTAGAAAGGTTATGACTTTCGTACATAGCTTAGTAACTGAGTGAAATCCAGGTCTTTGTGACTCCAAGACCAGTTCCCTCCACTATGCCATGATATGCTGAACTAGATTAACCTTTTTCAGCTTGGAAATTTTGCAATTTTATGTTAACTAATCAGTTTACTATATGTCAGTTTTCTGTAAGGGTCATGTCCCTTTTAGACCAGCAAATTTAAATCTACATTATGAGAGGCAAGGCCCTTTCAGATATGAGTGAATTATTCCACTTCTTGTAGGCAAGGATTTTCTCTACCTACTCATTTTTAAAGAGAAACAGAAGACCATTAGAACTTTAAGACTACCCTGATCCCTAGAGCTATTTGGTAATTATTGCAAAAGGCCATTCATGACCTGGCTTTCTGAGATGAAGATTTGGGAAATGTACTACTGATGGTCACTCTAAATTGGGGTGAGGTCTTTCAGCACTGAAGGGGCCCAACCCTAAACAAGAAGAGTTGTCAAGGGAGTAGAAAAGAAGAAACTTCTTCCAATAGAGGCTATCCATTTCTGAAAGAGCACAAGTATCTTCAGTTGAGTGTTGTAACTGACTTAAGTTGGAAGTAGTGGGGGTTAACAGTTACCCATCAAGAATCAAGTTCAGGGAATCCAACAGATTGGAATCCAAGAGATTCTGTGCTGTGCAGAGCAAGCTGACCAACCTAGCAGTCAAACAACTCATCCAGTGGAGGCCAAGGTCTGTAATGAACTTGCTGAGGAATCTACCAAGAGATTCCCTGCTATTCTGGAGAGAGAAGAAATCAATTTCAGAGTTGAGTTGTTTTGGCCATATGTGTTCCCTTCATATGTGTTCTCATTGACAGTTCTTTTAAGTTTACAACCACTCTCCCTCATGGATCCTGTATTTGTGAGAACATATGCCCTAGATTGAGGAGGAGGGAAGGGTAAGTATTTTGCTCTAAGGGTTCTTATACTGCTATTTGAGTAAATAATGCTTTTATAAGAGCTAATTGAGTCTTTTCTCTGATTGTTAATGGCCTACTGATGGGGGCTCACGAACCATGTTATGGGAGTAAGTACCGGCTACTTTACCCTTAGAATTTGAGGTAGAAGTTTCCCGGGGAACCCAATCTGTGAATGCATGTTTGGGGAAGGGAGGATTTGGAAGAGTGTATGGAGGTGTCAAATCTCAATGAACCCACATGCTTCTAGGGGGGACACAAGCAAATCATGACTAACTGGAATCCAGCCCTTCCTTTTAAACACATCTAATCAGAAAGTGCTAACCCCCCAAAAAAACAACAACAACAAAGCCCGTATATACAGGTAAACCTATAAGATCTGTGTATCTTCAGATCAGACTGTAAACATCTACCCCAAAACATATTTTTAGGATTTTTCACTTCCAGTGAACCTAGAAGTCATATTCCCACTAGAGGATAAATATTTACATTTGCTAAATTGAGAGGAAGGAGCTTCTCAAATGAAGATGGACTATGGCAATAAAACCTTGTATCATGCCACACATCTCATAAAAAGTTAAGAAACTTAAGAAGAGATAAGAAATAAGCAAGCTTCAAAGGTTTAGGAGCTCACCTGATTTAAACACCATTGAAAACCTATGTGTTATATAATCAATGCTAGACTTTGGAAAAAATGTAATGTTCACGTTTGTCATAGGTGTGTGCTTAATATCCAATGTGACAAAAGGATGTTTCAGTGTGAAGAATAACAAATGTGTCAGAAATTTCAGAAATTCAGTGTCAAATCATGTAAACAAGAGATCGCAGCAAAATGAGGACATATTGCCACATTAAAATATGTTTGAAGTTAAAAGGTTTATCATTTGTCAGTAAATGTAATTATTTTACTTACTGCACTTGTATCCGC